ACAACTAGGATCTACAAGGAACTTAAATATGCCAGAAAGAAAAAAACAGTCTCATTACAAAGTGGGCAAGAGATGAACAGGCACTTTTCAAAAGAAGGTATACAAACAGCCAACAGATGAAAAAATGCTCAATCTTAGTAGTTATCAAAGAAATGCAAATTAAAACCACAATGAGATACTACCTAACTCCAGTCAGGATGACCATTATCAATAAATCAAAAAACAACAGATGCTGGAGAGGATGTGATGAAAAGGGAACACTAATACAATGTTGGTGGGAGTGTAAACTAGTACAACCTCTGTGGAAAACAGTTTGGCAATTCCTAAAAGATCTAAAAATCGAATTTCCAGATGACCCTGTAATCCCCTACTGTGAATATACCCAGGGAACTCAAATACTCTATGAAAAAGATACTTGCACATGCATGTTTATCGCAGCACTATTCACAATAGCAAAAACATGGAAACAATCATGCTGCCCATCAAAAGAGGATTGGATTTTTTAAATGTGGTACATAAACATGATGGATTATTACACAGTCATAAAGAAGGACAAAATTATGAACTTCACAGCAACTTGAATGGACTTAGAATCTATAATATTGAGTGATCTATCAAAGAACTGAGTATCACTTTCTCACTCATAAGTGGACCTTAAACAAGACAAGGATTGGCAGTAGCGGGAAACTGCCAGGGTGGGGTGAAGGCAAGATTGGCAGTAGTGGGAATCTGCCGGGGAAGGGGGGCACACCTCAGCAACAAGGGTACCTGCATAATGAACATTTGTATACCTAACCCTGAATTGTACCTATCTTTAAAATAAAAAATTTAAAAATTTAAAAGATTAAAAAATAGAATAAAATAAAAGTATACTCAAGGCTGGACATAATCTCAAAATGTTTTAATTCTTTAATACACTTCTAAGAAACAATAATAGTAAGTCATATTAAATAATTTATTATTCAAAGAATATCTATTAAAAACCTTATATTAAAAAGTTTTTAAAAATATAATACTTATGTTGTTATTTCAAGGGAACAACTATTAAAAAACTGAAAAACAATTACTTATTTCCATAATACACTTTTTTAATAGAGTAAGGGAGATGCTATGATCTGATGTCTTTGTCCCCCCAAAACTCACATGTTGAAACCCAAACCCACAAGTGATGGTATTAGGAAGTGGAAGACGATCAGGTCATGAGGACAGAGCCATACGATAGCAATCTGTGCCCTTTGAAGAGATCCAGAGAATTAGCTTACCCCTTCCACTAGGCAGGACACAGCTAGAATGCACAATCTATGAACAATATCTGTGGACGAGACAGTGGTTCCTCACCAGACACCAAATCTGCTGGAGGCTTGATCTTGGACTTCCTAGCCCTCAAAACTGTGAGAAATAAACTTCTGTTGTTTCTATTCTGTGACAGGAGCTAAGCAGCAAGGCATAAAAAATCATGGAGGGCTGCCTGATTTCCTGTGCAATTTTTAAATATAAAATTGTAATCTGTTAAGACTACTATAGGATCTTGGTAAAGAAAATACATAAAGGATACATAAATATTGGTAAAAATAAAAAGAGCTAATACACAGGATAAGCACAGGAGAAAAGAAATGGGGTAAGAAGGATGAAGAGAGAAAGAGAGGAGGAGCCTATGAAGGAGGAAAGAAGTGTGAAGATAAGAGACACAATATGCTTCAAGACAATCCAGTAAACAAAAATTTAGATTTGACAAATTAAGAGGTAACAATTCATTCTACAAAAAGTTGACTTATGGGGTAAAATTAAATGAAAGTATCATTACATCTAAAACAATATTATTTATTTATAAAAATATCAATTCATACCTATTTTAAAGGAATATGACTGGTGCAGTGGTTCATACCTGTAATTCCTGCACTCTGGGAGGCTGAGGCAGGAGAATCACTTGAGCCCAGGAGTTTGAGACCAGCTTGGCCTCAAGACCTCATCTCTACAAAAAATACAAAAATTAGCTGGACACTGGCACACACCTGTAATTCCAGCTATTCAAGAGTGAGGTGAAAGGATTCCTTGAGCCCAGGAGGTTGAGGCTGTGGTAAACCAGTACCTGGTACTGTATTCCAGCCTGGGTCACGAAATGAGACCCTCTTTCCCCGCCCCCGCCACGCACACACACAAAGGAATACATGTACATAGTAACTTTTGAGTTTACTAAGTCAGACCTAATGTTTTACTTGTAGCATCAATAAAATTTGCTTCTATACCAATAACAATTGCATCCAAGGGTCAACAATTTACTTCCCTGAAATTTAGCATCACTGAAATTCAATGGAAAGGATTCTCTAACATGATCACATTTTTAAATAGTCTATATAGGGCAGTAAATGGAACTATGTGATGAAGAAACTGAAGAAGTTATGGAGTGCTCTTCTACATAACTCACTAACAATGGTGGCAGTAAGGAGCTTGTTTCATCCAAAATCTTATAAGCAAACCCTAACATGTTAACAGTCATGGCTAAGGAAAGTTGTCTCTGGAGTCTTAAAGTTGTCTCTGGAGTCTTAAAGTTGGAGAAAATAATTTTACCTGATATAAATTTCATGTTACACATAAGAAGTCTTATAATCAACCTGTGGAAAGCTGCCATGTATTAGTACTTAGTTTGTATGCTGTAGTTCTTATACTCAAATGTGCAAGAAACCCTCAAAATAATAGTTCTCATTATACACAGTAATTTCCAACCTACCATAAATGGGCTGACTAAAATTGTGGTTGCCTTACATTAAGGAAATACTATTCTCTGAGTTATATGGTTTAAATAACTCACAAAAAATCATATATTCCACATAAAAGTGCAGTTAGACTATACATGTAGAGCCTACAGTCAGTTACAAATCCATAAAACCTGGAACTTCCAGGAAAATCCAGCAAATAAAAAGTACCTGAATTTAAAAGCTAACTAATACAATAAAAAGTAACAATTTTTAAAAGCCAGATTAAATTTTCGGTGAACACATATAATACTACATACTTTGAAAATTTTTAGTAATAAAAATAATAATAGTTTTTAAAACTTACTTAAAACATTTTAATGAGAACAGGCAACTAGAGAAGCACTATATACCAGAGAAGATTAAATTGAAGCACCCTGTTAAGAGGTCAGTAAAAATTTTTTTTAAATAGGAGAAGTAAATTAAGAGATAAAGTAAAATAAGTAAATTAAGAGGTAAATTAAAAGGTCAGTAAAAAATTTGAGAACTATATATACTTTCTTAAAGAAAATTATGTACATTTCCCAAAACACTAAATTTTAAGCTTTTTAAGTATTCAAAAATACTCTAAAATGTTTTAGTTAAAAGATAAAAGTAGAAATTATTCTCTAAAAAATCAAAAATTAAAGTAAAATTTTTGAGCTTTAAAATGGTATCTTATATAGGAGGAATTTTCTTTTTAAAAACAATAATCACTAAAGGAACTTCATGAGTTTAAGTGAAAAAATTACTATGAAATAACTTAACCCATTTGTTAATAACTATTATACATCTTGTATACTATTTCTTCTCTATTATACCATTTGCTATTAGATGTTTTAGATTATAAATGAGCTAACTTGTTTTTTAATCCAAAAATAAATCAACAATAGAAGATAGGAATCTAACTTTTAATATTTCAAAATACTTTCTATATAGTTTCCCCAAACATTAGTAGTCTAATTGTGACCAGCACTATAACTTTAAATAAGGGTCTAATCCAAATCAATGATAAACCAGTAAATGGGTATGAAAACTGTCAGAAACAAACACTGGTATATGTTTATGTTCCATCCATAAACAAATACTTATCAAGCTTACCTTTAAACTACACGTTTAGTTTTTCCTTAAAACTTAACACTAGATGCAGAAAACTCTAGAAGTCATAAGTAAAGATCAAAACAAACTCTCCCCTTCTTGCCAAGATGTGTACATAACTGCAGATTTAACTTAGATATACATACACACTACATTCATGTCTCTTATTCTATACAAAGTCTCAGTAAATAGTTTCCTAACAGAGCAGGAGAAATTTGATCTCTCAAGTTGAAAGTTTTTGCCCATTAAAAAAGATTTAAATAGCCCTAGTTACAGAAATGTTATCAAAATAACAACAGTATCATATTTTCATTGTTTTCCATATGAAAACTTCAATAAAAGCAGTTTAACCATAGTCAGTAAGTCTGTTCAATGAACACTGAAAAATCAAAACTCATCCAGAGTACTTGCAAATCAAACTGTATGCCACTTCAAAATTACATGTACCTCTTTAAAAATTAGGGCAATTAACAGACCACTTAAATCACATTAAGTGAGTTAAATGTAGCCCTAAAGAATATTTAAGTTTCCAGCTAGATGCAGTGGCTCATGCCTATAATCCCAGCAATTTGGGAGGTCAAGGTGGGAGGCCTGCCTGAGTCCAAGAGTTCAAGACCAGCCTGGGCAGCATGATGAGATCTCATCTTTACCATAAATCAAAAAATTAGCTGGGTATGGTAGCACGTGCCTATAATCTCCACTACTTGGAAAGATGAGGCAGGAGGAGCACCTGAACCCAACAGGTTGAGGCTGCGGTAGCCATGATCATGCCACTGCACTCCAGCCTAGATGACAGAGATACTGACTCAAAAAAAAAAAGTATTTAAAGATTCCTTATTCCTTTATTCTATTTTATAAAATAGATAAGTTGGTTCTAAACTACTTGATTATCATTTTCTTTTGCTACTTATTTCAAACTATAAAGTTCAGGTATAAGATTGCAAATTGATGTAGGTATCCTCTATTATTGGTCTACAACTAATTATCCATAAACATCAATGCAAACAATACTGTTCCAATCAGGCACAACAAAATTTCCCTCCATTTTATAAATAAAAACTTCTAATCCAGTTCAACAACTAATCATATTTTAAATAATGAATTTGAACAAAGATGCATGAGAGAGGCACATTTTTGAAAACAAGTATAGCATAAAATCTTGTTTTATGCTGAGTCAGTGAAATTTTTTTTGTTTTTATGAATATTTGGTTTACTTCCTTCTTTTGGGCAGGATTAGTATGCAATTTTCACTCTCCTTCAAAGAGTCAAAAACCCACAAGCCCACAGTTAACATGAAAACAACTTGGTATTGTCAGATGAAGACAGATAAACTACCACCAAAAGAACAACTATACTAAATTTTAACACTATTAATTAACAGTTCCATTTTCCTGAGTTTGCGCTTGTTCTTTGGCATTGGCTTAGGATATAATCCATTTTTTAGAAGATGTTCCTTGCTGAGGCGAATTTGAGCACCATGCTGAAGCTGGAAAGAGCATAAAGCTTGAAGAGGGCGAAGCAAAGTCTGTTAAGAAAAAAAAAGTATCTGTGACAAATCATGACATTCTATCTACATTTTTCCCTCAGAAACAGGAATTATTATATTTTTAATGTGTTATTATTGACTTTTAACTATAAAAACAATAGACACTCCAATAAATATATAATTATTTTTAGATAAATAATATTCTAAAATTTATATCTTACATGCCATGCTAAGGAATTTTAGTAAAAAATAAAAATGCTGATTCTCCATATAGGTACTAAAGTCTGAACTTCATTTTACACATTAACTTATTCAAGCTCTATGAAAAATGGTTGCCATTATAATAATTTAATCTGTAACAAGCAGACTAAGAGATCTTAAGACAAAGATAAGCACATCAAATTATTTAATTCAGTTTCAATCACAAATTGATGCAAGCTTACTGACACCTGATAATAATCAGATGGTGGCAGAAATAGGTAAGTGGTTTACTATGCCTCTTACATTAGCCCATGGAACACATACAAGCTAGATACCCAGGCTTTGGTGCAAGATAGAAAAAACACGCGCCCATGATGTCTTTTTCAAGCCCAGGACTGCCCACCTCAGCATTTCTTATTTACAGAAGAAAAGGAAACCCTCATGTGATTTAATTACTGTAGTAAGGGCTCTGTTACATGCAGCCAAACATAATTCCTAATATACACCATAAGAAAAAAAGACAAACATATTGGAAAAGCTCTGTACATTATTATTATTATTATTATTATTTTGGTGCTGAAACCCAGGAACAAATGCACAATAATATTATAGAAAGCTCCTTAGATATGTTCTCATAGCTTCTTTTAATGAAGAAAACAGGACAGGAAATATGGAAACAACTATTACTTTACATCCTTTACAGGATCAACCCAGTGGACTTAATGGATTTTGAAACACCATACCTAGGAAACAAACCTAGGGATACATACAGACTGAGACAACTGAAGATTTTACTAATATTTATTAGAGTCTTGATAAGCAGGAGAAAATTAATACTACTATGGTCAAGAGTTTCCAACTTTTACATCCCGAAGATAAGATTTCATCAATTTACTGAAGTAATCAAAAAATAAATTTTGGACAACATTCTAAATATTGTTTTAGGGGAGTCCTCAACATATACTGTTACATAATTTTTTTTGGAAAAAGTTCGTTCTCTGCCAACTTTGAAAGAATTCATTCTAGATTCTTGTAGAGTCTAGAATATTTGCAAAACAGAACTTGAAACATTCTTGGCTAATAGGTTTCCTGATATGATGGTCCATTAATTAATATCAGAATAAAGTGTCTTATAAAACTAGGAAGGAGGGAGCAGCAACAGCATTAGTAGTGGTGGTATAAACACTGCCCCTAACTCTAACCATATTACACTATGACTATTCTTAATATAACCAACACAATTACCAATATTAAAGCTTCCATTTAGCATTTTGCTGTAAAGATCCAGTCTCGGTTGTGGTAATAAGAGATATGCCCATAACGGATTCTTTATAGAACCCAGAAGAAGAGAAAAGCAAGTTTTAAATCTATAACCAAAGAACATTTTATTTTCCCACAGGATTTGAACTTTTAATGACCCCTTGGTCTGATATTGTCTGATCCTAGAATTGCTCATCAACAAAAAATAAAATACAGAGACTGTACAGAAAGCTTAAAAAACAGCACTGGGTTTTTATCTTTCTTTTAAGACACCTATAAAGAGTATGAGTATATATAGACACACACACACACACACACACACACACACACACACACATTTGCTCAAGAATATACAGGAATGGTCATGAATAAATACAACAGGAAGATACATATGGGGGTTTATAAAGTGCTATGTTGATGGCTAGGTACATTGGAGTAGGTGATAAGGATAGAGGAGAGGGAAAAGTGCCTGAGAAACACTCACTGCTCATGCAGGGAAAGGATCTAGGGTCCCTCATAAATTTTTTTCTCAAAGGATAGAGAACAGAGAAAGTGAAATTGCCTAGTTTCAAAACAAAGTCTACTCACATACATACACACCCAAGAAAAGCCTACTTATGAAAGACCACTTCTTTTAAAAGAAGAAAAGTCTTCACCTCTGAAATGTTCTACAGCTTAGGGGAGGGAGAGGAAAAAAAGCAGTTCAGTGCTTGCTTCTGGCATTCTTTAATACTCCTTGCTCTTGAGAACTTTTTGTTCTCTTTAGGATTAATATCTTGGTAATCAATCCAGCTACTTTGAACTGATCTTTTATCCTTTATTGGAACTTCCTTCATGGCTAAGGCATACTCTTATAATAGTAACCATAGTATATACTGAGAGAGAAAGAAGGAAGGCAGGAAAGAATACTTCCTGTGTATATGGGGGGGGTTGAAGTGGGAGTTTTAAACTCCATTTAGTTATGCTCACTATCCTCTCACTTTTATTCTTGAGTACTATTTATCGAAAATTTTCAATGATTAAAAAACCTCAACAAAGTAAATTTTACTTTGCGTTTTTTGTCATAACACAAAGTTCCAGTTTCTTACATGTTCCAAAAGACTGAGATGTTAGTAAGCTCATTGAAACTTATTCTTTGATTAAAATTATATATGAAATCATCATGCTTTTATGGAAATGAAATAAAATAATGACTGTAAGTTATAGCCTTTTCACATTCCGTAGGCATTTTTCTCAAAAAATATGTCTTTTTTACACTCTAAGCAAAGTTAGTAAGATGAACAGAAATAGTATATCTTAATATACCTGCTCAAATAAAGGCACTAATGCAAAAACAAAAATGTTGCTATAAAATGTTCTTTTAACTAAAAAGAACAAAGATTGAGCATAAAAGAACACAAAATCTAAAAAGAAAAATAAAAAATACTAAAGGAAAGATCGAGCCAAAAAACTCTAATATTGTACTATTTAAGTGCAATTTAGCATATTACAAATGCTGTCTGCACAGCTTAATATGCATATTTAAATAATGCAATCTGGAATGCTAAACTAACACAGGAAAAACACCAGAGGGGAAAGAAGGTTAGAAAAGTACATACATTTCTATCACATGTACATGCTACTTGTCACTTGAGTTACAAATTTAACAAGATAAGCATGTCTAAAATTTTTTTTTTAATCTAACTAAATTTACTACTTTCAAAAACTTTAACTTTCCAAAGACATACCTCTTGTATATGATTATTTTTCTCCAAGATGGAAAGAGCAACAGCTGCACACTCAAGTGTAGAAAGGCACCTGTTAGTTGGTTGCATCCGAATTACATACTGACTAGAAATGTTAGTTTTTAACTGCACCTGAAACCAAAAATAAAATAATAGAATAAAATTGTCATTTTACATTTAAAATTATAAAGCCTGTGTTTTAAATATTAATTTTGCTCCTACTAAAACTGCCAGCAGTCTAGAACTATTAAGTGTATTAGTATCTTTTGCATATAACATTATTTTGTTGTTGTCATTGTTAAATAGTAGAAAAAGAGGATACACATATTGACAAAGATGATATATCCAGAATATGTACAAACTATTACATATGCAAAATAAATAGACAAATAACCTTCTCCCAGTAAGGAAAAGAATAAAAACACACTTCACAAAAGAAGATGTGAGAATGCCAAGTAGGTACACAAAAAAGTGCTCAACATGATCTAATGCAAATTAAAACCAAAATGGGATAACATGTCACACTCATTAGATTAGCTAACATCAAAAAGACTAACACTGGCTGGGTGCGGTGGCTCAACCTATAATCCCAGCACTTTGGGAGGCCAAAGATAAGAGAATTGGCTGAGCCCAGGGGTTCGAGACCAGCCTTGGTGAGACAACTTGGTGAGACCTCATCTACACAATAAATCACAAAAACTAGCCAGGCATTGGTGGCATGCATCTGTAGTTCCAGCTACTTGAAAGACTGAGGTGAAAGTGTTGCCTAAGCCCAGCAAGTTGAGGCTCCAGTGGCCATGAGCGTGCCACTGCACTCCAGCCAGGGCAACAAGAGTTAGACTCCAACTAAAAAAAAAAAAAAAAAGAAAAAGACTAACGCCACCAAATGACAAGGATATGGAGCAAATATACATTGTATGAGTTAAAATGACTTAAGCACTTTGGAGAATTATTTGATAACTGTTTTTGTTTGTTTTTTGTTCGTTTTTTGAGTTGGCGTCTCACTCCATTGCCCCAACTGGAGTGCAGTGGCATGCTCCCGGTCACCTCAGCCTTGACCTGCTAGGCTCCGTTGATCCTTCCGCCTCAGCCTTCCAAGCAGCTGGAACTGCAGGTGTGTGCTACCATGCCCAGCTAATTTTTTTATTTATTGTAGAGATGAGGTCTCGCCAAGTTGCCTGGGTGGGTCTCGAACCCATGGACTCAGGCAATCCACTCACCTTGGCCTCCCAAAGCACTGGGATTACAGGCTGAGCCACCGAACCCGGCCTCGACAACTGTTTTTAATTGCATGGTTTATCCATTATTTCTTAATATAAACTGATAGATGTAGATCTGTGTGGGTGTGCATATAAAAATACACACACATTTATTTACACACGTACAGATATCCTCTCTTTTTGAATAAATATAATATTCTCCATAGAGATAATATTTTAGCTGAGAGCTGATGACTGAAACAGTTAGGTATAAGAAAGGCAGCAAAAAAATCAATATTTTGGTCTTTGATTCCTATTCTAATTAAATGAAACTGAAGTAGTCTTACACTGGGGATAAAGCCATATCCCTGGCCCACACTCTGACACATTTAAGGATATGTGGATGGATGATAATTTCAATGTTTACTCATAAATTTGTGAACATGGGGATTGAAGGTAGTGGTATCTAAGCCTTAACATATGGCAACTTATTAAAATCAGGGACCATCTCTTATTTTCTAGTATCTACAAAGTTGTATGTATCTCTCATTCCTTAAAACCAGCAAATTAGCCGGGCTCAATGGCTCAGCCTGTAATCCCATGCTTTGGGAGGCAGAGGTGAGTGAATTGCCTGAGCCCGAGGGTTCGAGACCCCCCTGGGCAACTTGGCAAGACCTCATCTCTACAATAAATCAAACAATCAGTCGGGCGTGGTAGCGAATGCCTATAATTCCGGTTACTCGGAAGGCTGAGGCAAAAGGATCACCGGAACCCAGCAGGTCAAGGCTGCGGTGGCCGGTAGCGGCCACTGCACTCCAGTCTGGGCGACTGAGTGAGACTCCAACTCAAAAAAAAGACCAGCAAATTATTTCATCAATGTCATCTTGTCCCTCAATCCCTTCCCTCCTGTGTTTCATGCAGTACCCCATAATGAGAAATATGGTTTTTCTACTATGCTTTTTATTCAAGTAATTATCCTCTACAACTTAATATTCTTCCTTTCTGAAGGGTGAGGGGGAGAGAGAGAGGGAAAAGCAAGCTGCTGCTGCTGCTAAGTGAACATTATAAAAAAAAGTATTTGATTTGGGACTATATCCTTTAAACAAATTTGACTAATAGTGTTTTGGGTGTGATTATACTGAAATTACTCTGCATTTCTACCAATGGAAAATACAAGAAATAGATGCAGGGAAGGGAAAGAGATGAAAGAAAATATTTAAGAAATATGTACAGTGATAAAAGAAAGTCTATCATTAAATAACTATAAGAATAATTCACAGTGTTGATTAACAGTAATTAATAACAGCTTTGATATTTCATCAAAGCAACTAGTAGAACAAAATGCAGCCAAATACTGCTTTCAATACTCAATTTCAAATCTTCACTGGAGAAATTTATAATAGATATCTTATTACAATAAAATCTTTGGGAAACATGCAAAATATACAGTGATATTTTGTGTATTGCAATAAATTGATTTTAAAAATATTTCAGGAAGGAGTTTTATTTCTTAATGTAAAAAAACTCAGAATTTGAAATTTATTATATGCTAAAAGACTTTAGAATATCCTTCACAAATCATCTCACCAGGAATCATAAGGTAACTAGATACAGTAAAACACTACATAGCTGAGCTATGTCATATTATTAACTTATATGTTATTCAATAATACTCAAATGTTAATTTGGAATTTAATTGTATTAAAACTGTTATCCATTCAAGTGTAGTCAATATATTCAGATATTAGACAATGTCTACACTCATTCTGCCAATTATCTTCTTACACTATTTAAGAGACAGAGTAAAATCCAAAAACAGCATGGGACTTCTTAAATGAATCCACTTCAACACAGTTTGGGCAACATATAGTCCCATGTAATAATCATTAATGACATATAATACATTACCTTCAGAAAGATGACATAATTCTGTCAACTTTCTAGCATGAAAAATATGTACATGAATGTCAGATAATGAGTTTGACAAATAAGTTGGCTCATAGTGACATATATAAAGCTGAAGAATTGCCATACCAAAAAGTGATAAAACAATAATAACTGCAATGAAAAGTAAAAGAATATGAAAAAAGAAAATTAGGTAGAAAATTCTCATCAAGTTACAGGGATTTATTTTCTATTCAGTTGAAAAAATACTCTGATGATTTAAAACTTAAAATGAATTTTCCTTACGTTCACCATTCATCTTTTCAAATGATTTAAATAAAAGTTCTATTAGGTGGGTAATCAAAACAGGGGTGTGTTAGTTAAACACTTCTTTGAAGAAAGCACTGACTATAATAGAGTATCACTACAATGATATAAAATCTCTAACAAATTGTGGTTTATTGTTATGTTGTTTTTCACCATCTGCTTAATAAATCCTTCTCCTGTACTTTATCCTACTATTACCCTACTAAAATTCCCATCACTTCACTAATCCATATAAAAGCTGTTTGTATATATTTAATTTATTGACACTATCTAGAACCTAATTCCATCTATGTTAGTTCTCCTATTGGACAAGGTCAACATTCTAATCCAGGGACACAAACACACAAAATCTTTGTAACTACTAATTATGGCTCTTCTCCAATGACAGTACTCAATTCTAAGTCACCATCATCTTTAGCCTGGGTCTCTGTAAACGTCTAACAAAATCTCACTTCCACATCAGTCATTCTCTATGTATCAGTCAAGTGATTTAAAAAAAAAAAAAAAGGACACTGATCACATTATTACTCATATTAAAAGCCTTAACTAGCTTGCCACTAAGCAAAATCCTTACAATAGCTTATAAATCATCAATTTCATCAATAGCACTCTCTGCCCCTCCCCTTGCTACATACCAATCAGAATAAGAAAAGCCATCCTAAATCTCCAACCTCAATAAAATCACTGTTTTAAAACATTCCTTATTTAAAGTATTCACAGAAAGTATCTTAATTTATATACTAATTATATACTAACCTAAGTGGCTATTTATTTCCACACTACATGTAAGATCCGTTAGGACATGGATTGCCTATTTTACTTACCATTGTATTCAACTGTTCAGAACAGCATCCAATACAGTAGCTGGTGTTCAATAAACACTGGTCATATTAATAAATGCTAATCACATTCATTAGCAAATAACTATAGCTATGAATTACCAATGCCAAATACAGCCATTATACTTAAATTTTTGTGACTTTACTGGGAAAGGAGGTGTATGGATAAAGAGTGGAGAAAGGGACTGTTTAAAAAGGTTAGGAATTTGTGTCAGAATTTGAGCTTACAAAGTTGCTTTAATCAATAATTTTTAGGTAGAAAATTTGAAATTAGGAACTATATTATGTCATAATTTACATATTTTGAGGGACTTTAGTAAGTTTATAAAGTAGAGATAGCTCCCTGATAGCACACAAATCCTGTAAGAATGACAAATTGGGCATTTTATATTAAACAAATGAAATAAGCTGAGAAATCCATAAAAATTGCTTAGACTTTTTGATACAAATATGAACTATGTTTAATTATAAAATATGTCATGCTTATCTAATCCTTTCCTAGGATTTGTAAGAGGATTGCTGTTTTTTATTCTATGTAGTTCTATTTTTTTATAATGCAAAACCTGAAAACCATACATTGAAGTATTTTAACCAGCTTCTTTTAGGATACAAAAAAAAATTCAACCACAGCAAAACTCAGCATGTTACTGAAATCTTCTTCAAGAACATAAATAAGTTATCTTTCCCAAACATTATGCTTTAATTCAAAGTGACATTTTTAGAGCATTCATTTGAAAAAAAAATTCTAAAGGGAATAAACATCATGCAATTTTTTAGTAATATAGGAAAAGTAGACGTTACAAACATCTTTTCTAAAACCATTATATTTGTAAACACACACACACACACACACACACACACACACACACACACACACACACAT